GTGGGGGGGGGGGGGGGGGGGGGGGGCGGGGGGGGAGGGGAGGGGAGGGTAGCGTGGGAACCGTGCCCGCTGGCTTAGCTCCCTCCCGGCGTCGTGCTCCGAATGGGAATGGGCGGCCCGGGAGCGCTGCCTGGCTGACCTCTTGGCTGGCCAGCATCAAGGTCAGGTGTTTCAGGAGAGAAAACTTTGCGGAGTTTCCTTAGGAATCACCGGAAACTCGAAAGTATTGGAGCTGGACTGGTATCTGAAAAGTTGAGGGCTTTGCTGAATTAAGCCTTTTGATAGAGAAGACCCTGAGAAGATGATAACTCTTTTCAGTGCTGGCTGTGGGATTCTGTAGTAATCCCGGCACTCCAATGACCTCTTCCTTTTCTTTCTCTCTTGTGGTGATTTTCTTTTGTATCGCTTAAACAAAAGAAAATAGGCCCTCGTGTTGCAGGAAGACCCTTGTAAGGGGACTATTTTAAGAAAGTGTAATTTTCATAGGATGGGAAAGCTACTTTTCAGGAGCAAAGAGAGTTTTTGTTTTGGTTTACAGTTAGGAAAAAATGTCTAATAGGAGCTGCTTCATCTCTGCCATGGATAATTTGGTAGCATTTATGGTACTGTTTTACTCTGAATTTTTTATTACGATATGAATTGCTCTGGCTCAGACCATCAGGCATTGCTACAAAGATAGGCCAACATTATTCACCAAGCTAATATGTTCTTTTGTTTTAAAAAAAAAAAAGTAGTATTCAGTATGCAGGGTTGTTTTGAGTCCTTTATTCTAGGACTGAAACAGAATCTAAGTTGAGGTCCTCATGAATTTGGTGAACTCAGACTCTGATTCCCAAATTGAAGTTCCTTCAATAATTTTGTGTGTGTGGCTTTTTTTTAATGTTTTTTCCTTAAGAATTTTGCAACTCTGCTCTCACTTGTATGAAATTGTTTCTTGCAACGTTTATGCTGAGGTATTTTTCTCCTTGCAGAAGTCTGTTCCCCACCCATGAACACTTCCACTTCCTGTATGATGTAGAGGTTTTGTAATGTGTGTGACCAGCGCTTGTGCTGCTCGCACACAGGAAGCCTGGCCAGATGTCTCTTCTGGCTTCATGTGTGTGAAAACAAATAAGGTGCAGCCAGTGTGTACCTGCTATAGACTGTGACTTTCTCTCCTCGATTTTTCCATATTTGCCAATGTTTAACAAGACATTGCTAAAACCTCCTTCACTCCCCTCGTCCTCCCCCCTTTTGTAGTGAGCCTAGACAATGAGAAGTTCCTAATTGGTTTAATTAATTACTTTCCAGGCATTTTGCATACTGTCTTCAAGCTGTTAAAAATCAAGGGGAGAAGGCAGCAGGGGGGAAAACAAAAAGTCAAAGCCCTACCCTTTCTACAGTTTAGAAAGATTTATATGAGTGTTTTTTGTTTAAAAAAAAATCAGAAAATAAAGAAAAGCTTTAATACAAAGTTTAATACTTTGTCTAAAACTTGGAATTTTTCTTTTAAGTTTGTGTCTTGCATCTTTGGTTAGTTTGAAAACCCCTGTGAGTTAAGATGTAGTGCAGGTATACTGGGAACCTAATAGGTCTTCCTTGTGTGTTGCGGACAAAAAGCATGTGCCTGTGGCATGGGACAGTTGTGAAACAATCTCTGCCATGTTGTGTCATCTCTGTGGAATAAGTATAGGTCCACAGTCCTTCCATGTATTTACACTTTAACAATTAATTTTGAATTATGAGTACTCTTTAGTAATGGTAACCATGAAACAGAGCGTACTTTTAATGGATAACATCCTTAGTGGGTCCATAATCTCATGTTTACAAAGACATGCTTAAAAACCAAAGAGGACAGCATCTTTATGCTTCTGTGAAAGTTATCAAGGTTCTGTGGAACTCTCATAAATCTTACAGCTCAGTTAGGGAAAGTTCATTTGTATGTGACCATACAATCTTAAAAAATGCAAATTAGTACATTCTTTTAGTCCTTCCAAAGTGCAGTGTAAAAACACAAGTGAGAGCTAGATATGAGCATATTCAAGCTTTTGAGGCCGATGGGAGCTTTGCCTTTTGGTTCTAAAGGGTTGTTTGAAAGCTTTTGGGAGCAAGATGTCTTGCACTTCTTCATCTTTGTCTTGTCTGACTTCTTTTTGTTGACTGTCTGAACACAGATATGGGATTTATTATAATGCTTATGTCAATAATTCCTGTTTGGAGACTTATGAAGTATATTTTAATTTGTGTAGCAAAACCAGGCATACCCTGGGTGGAATCTCAGTTCTTGAAGAAATACAGAAACTTCCTGTTGTCCGAGTGGTGAGAAATAACCAGCTAAAGGAAACTCTGGCTTGCTGTTCTCTGGAGTGGTTTGACCACAGTAATGGATGCTGCTCCTTCTTCGTTTCTCATTGCACCTGCATCACTTCTTTGTGTCTGACCCTCCCTCCCTGTCCCTCATTTGTAAAAGAGAATTTTTTTTTTTCTTTACAAATGTGCTGCAAGGATTGGTGTGTGTGTACACAGTGCCTTGAGCGTAAGGACATACTCATTAACATCAAAGGCACTTTCAGTTAACTTAAAAAATAATAGAGTAGATGTGTTGTAAACTATCCTAGGTCAAGAATGTTAATTATGCTTGGTTGTGATTTTCTTTTTAATGGGCAAGGGTACTATTTGGAAAATCACTCCTCCTTACTCGCACTCCTTTTCCTCTCTTTTTTTCCCCAGTGCCTACTTCTGTAAATACATACAAAGAGCAGCAGCAGCCTTGAGACTTCTTGCTGGAAGTGTGTCAATACATCACACAGTGGTTTTTGTTTGTTAGAAGGAAGACATGTAGCTTTGTCTAATTAACATTTTGTGTCAAGAAACTGAATTAAAAAAACTAAAGCTTAGTAACTTTTCCCCTCACCTGCCAGCTCCCCTTCTAAATAATAGTGTAATTTCCATGAATGTGTAGCTGATACTGTGCATTGAGGTGTGTGGGCACAGCCCACTTAGCTGTGACAGCTGCTTACTCTTTGCTCAATAGTCTCCTGAAAGTAGCCTAGGCTGTGAAAAGGACTTGTGCTTTGTAGCACTGCTTGGGTATGTAAGAATTGGGCTTTAGATCCCCAGACTACTCTGAGTACTTGAAACTGTTGTCTGTAGTAGAGGTAAGAACTACTTATGTTTGTTTCAGTAGAGTTACCAGATAAGATACCAGGCTGTTAATCCTGTTTAAACCAGGTGATTTTCTGGAGAGGGCAGTCTGAACACAGGTTATGAATAATTTTTCCATTGAGTTCAATAGATGTGCAGTGGATGCACATTTTCTTTAGCTATGACATGCTGCTCAGAAGGTCTACTTCAGCATTTCCTGAGTATCATAAATAAGAGGAGTAGAAGGCAGGACTGATGTCTAAATTATCTTTGAAGGCTTTGGCTATTTTTTCCTCTTTATTCTATCAGGATTACCTCTAGGAAATGTTTTGCTCAGTAGATCTGGAGCTGAAACTTGGTAGAACAACTGTGTTTTCTCAGTCATTAGATTTCAGTGATACAGTTCTCTGACAAATGCCGTTGTTGTGAATTGTTCAACTCCACCTTTATTTACTGTCCTTGATCTATTTGGGTTTCTACTAAATTGATAATGTCTATGTGGAATCTTTGCCTCACCCACGGTTGCACATGGGCAGGTTATCCAGAGCATTAGGTCTGATGTTTCTCTGTTGTCAAGACTAACTCATATAAAATGATATTTGCTAGTGACCTTTTTATTAGAGTGCATCATGCACATCAGAGGGCATTTATTTAATTGTGGTGTCTAGATACTTAAGTCTTCAAGAGGGAGTGACCAACTTAAGGTTCTTGATTCCCCTGTGGCTCTTTTGATGTGTCGTTCCCATTTGGGACTATGTTCTGTGACTGGGTTTATGCTGGCACAAGGACAGCTGGATGGTCTGGATTGCTCACTGGGTTGCTGCAATCTATCTGCATACCTAGTCCAGCCAGGTGGTATCCCACTAAAACCTCTGTGAAGCTTTTATCCTTGCTTCCCTGGGAATTTCTGGAGCTCCCTTCTCCCATGGCTCTCTGAGGCATTCAGGTATATTGTGGCTCTCAGGTATATTGTGGCTCTCAGCCATGCATGGGTTATGATATTTCAGGTTTAAAGTCATGTAGTTTTGTCTATGTTGACCTAAGGAGAAATTTTTCACGTGTCCAGCAGTTATGTCCGTAAAAAGCTTAGGTGTTCCTGGAAATGTTAACACAGGAAATTAGTATCTTGAGTACCTTCTCTGTGTCTCTCTGAAGTTTCTCTTTAATTTCAGGGTAAGCATCTTTAGGGTTGTTGAAATCGACCTCAATTGCACTGTCTTTGGAGCTGAAGTTGTGCCTGAGATGTCTTCTCTTTCACTTGTGTTCTGTGTGCGTTGGGACAGCTGCAGCTAAAGTTTGAGGTTTGGTGCTCTGTGCTGTGTAGTCAGAGGGGGGGAAGGTGCTCACTGCTGGGGATGTGGCGTAAGCATCCTCATTGGACATGAGGAAAAATTTCTTTACTGAAATTGGACACGAGGAAAAATTTCTTTACTGAAAGAGTGGTTAAACATTGGAACAGGCTGCCCAGGGAAGTGGTTGAGTCACCATCCCTGGAAGTATTTAGAAGATGTGTAGATGAGGCGCTTAGGGACATGGTTTAGTGGGCATGGTGGTGTTGGGTTGACGGTTGGACTCGATGATCTTAGAGGTCTTTTCCAACCTTAATGATTCTATGATTCTAAGCACGCAGCAGCCTTGGGAGAACTGGGGAAAGGGACCTGGTTACTCAGTAGTGATTCTTTGCGTTTATGGTATATCTGGAAGAGCCCTGTCAAGGCTGGTCTTTAGTTTGGTCTCCAGGCGTGCAGTGACTTCCTGGGAGGAGGGATGCACTGCTCTGCAGCAAAAAGTACTGAGGTAGCTCACTGCATTAGCTCTTACGTTTGATCCTTTAATTTTCCAGGGGGCAAAAAATGAAACAGGAGTTTTAAACTTTGAGGGCTTATCATGGAAGACTCAGAAGGACATCACTTCAGCTCAGTGGAAGAGGAAACCAGATACTGGAAAGAGCTGGCTATGAAATACAAGCAGTGGTAAGGCAGTGGCTTCATTCCTCTAAGTTGTTCGATGCATAAACACTGCATGCAAAGACATAGATAGCACCACATAGGAGAGTAAATTCAAGGTGGTTCAGCTATCTTGTGGTAGCAGTAGCAATGCTTCTGCATAAACTACAGCAGTCCAGAGTCCTGTATGCTTATTTGAGCAATGAATCTGTGCTGCTGTGGCACTGCTGGTTTTGGTCCCTGCTCTGGTTTGAGTAGGACTGTGTGTGCTGAAATTGTGCCTCTGACTGCAGTCTGTGGGCAGCCTGGGTAAACGTAAGTCACTGCAGAACCTTGTTGGGGGTGGATGAGCCGGGCCATTGCAGACAGAGAGATGCTGCTGTTCACTCTTTATATCTCTGTGTGGATCAAGAGTGGTTTGACAGCACATAGGTGGAGAAGGATCCCTGGCTGAGAATGGACATACTTTGCTCTTCCCTTTAGCTCAGTATGTTGCACTAAATGCAGTAAAGGCTGAAAAAATCCCAAACTTTTTAGATGCTGATATTGGTGGGTCCTTTCTTAGACCAGGAGTTCAGACCTTTCAGTGCTGCTTGTTCAGCTTGCTGGAGGATTATTTCAATAGAATTGTTTAAGAATATAAGAACATATTTCCTTCCATCTTTCTCTTTTTCTCACTTTTTATTGCTAATCAAAAATGGCTTTGTTCATATATCCAAATAAATAATTGAATTGAATAACAGATTAAATATGCAGATGGCAGCGGACAATGTACAAGCTAAAGAGACTCCACATGTGTTCAACACCTATAGTGTGAAGACAAACTTTGGGATTTTTCTATTTATTTGGGCTTTTTTTATTTGTTTACCAGTTTGCTATGGGGTGGCTTTCCATACTTGAGGGGGAAACATTTGCATATGGTCCTCTCTTCCTGTTGAATATATATGTTGGAGAAGGGCATAGAGCCTTCTGTGTTAAAGGGCAGTATTGTTTTTTTACCTTGAGTGTACAAGAGATTTTTTTTCTTTGTTCATTATGATGAGTTCCATTGCTGGAATTGCTCTCTAGTGCTGAGAATACACAGGAGGAATTGCGTGAATTCCAAGAAGGGAGTCGAGAGTATGAAGCTGAACTGGAGACTCAGCTGCAGCAAACAGAGTCCAGAAACAGAGACCTTCTGTCAGAAAACAATCATCTACGAATGGAACTGGAGTCAGTTAAGGTAAGAGTGGATGATGCATATAGTATCTGTACAGCCTAAGTGTAAAGGTGAATGAGACAGGCATGTGCAGATTCAGCTTGCCTTGTTGACAGGGACCTTCAGCATTACAAAGAAGTTGAACAGAAAACTGAAAAAGAAAGTCTTGAAAAATTAAGAAATACCAATCTGTTGTCTGCTTTGAGGGTGCTGGATACCTCGGTAATGTTCCTGAACCCCTGTTTGCAGGTTGTGGCTATGTGTCAGGATAGATTTAGGATGGGAGAAAATTGTTTGCAGTAGAGTGGAGAGTAAACATGAACATAACAGAGCTGCTGTTCTATTCCTTCTTCCATCTACTTAGTGCTTTTGTTCACAGCTTTCCTGCTGTCTACATTGTGCAGGCACAGATAATATTGCAGAACAATCAAAATACAAACATTCCAGCTGTGTTCTTGCATTACCTAAGAAAATTCAGTAGTTTTAAACTCTTGTGTATTTGTTATCTGGCATTCCAGATAAGCTGGGAAGCAGCAGCCAGTGGGTAACGCATAGAACTGAACACGTAAAACAGTTTCAGTCCTGGTTTTGTTACTGAATCTGTCTGTACTTGGGGAAAAATAATTTATCCTCTTTACACTTGGTTAGCCTTTTGTGATACTAAGAACCAGCTGAGAAGCATTAACTTCCATAATTATAAAACATAAGGGATATGAACTTATTGAGATGGAACTCCTTACCAGAGTGACTTAAGAAATAATGAAGCTATCTAGAGTATGAAGAGTGAGTCTGTCTCATTTCAGTCTCATTAAAGATGCTGCTAGACCCCTGTGCTGGTTGACAGGTTTAGGAAATACTGGTAAGTTTTCTTAAACTTGAAAAAAACCTGTTTTTGAAATTGGTATGCCTTTTTAAAGTTTGATCTTGTTGGCCTTTTGCTTAAAGGTGAGGTATAGTTGCCCAAGAAACACTACACTGTATTTTGTAGGGCTAGGTCAATATATGTGGAAGCAGAGATTTATTTAATTACACATTGCATCCACTCAATTGGATGCAATAATGAGCTAATGGGAGTGAAGGTATTTGTAAACACTTATAAGTGATTAATCACTGGATTAATCTGGGTTTGCAATGCCTTTTGTCTAAACTGTTGTCCAAATTACTGTCTTAAGGGAACTTTCTTCTGTTCCAGGCAGATGTCCTGTCCCTCTAGTGCTAACTTAGTGATTTTCCCCCCCTCCCCTGCTTTTTGACAGCAAAACCTCCAAGGCTTGTTTCATTGTATTTGTTATGTTGCACTGATCTTTGTTCTTTTATTGGTGCCTTAGCAGTGTTAAATGCTCTGCATGTTGTATGGAGTGTTGGTCTACTGTTCCATGTAGCCACATAAACCCATGGAAGCTGATGGCTTTGGGGAGAAGGTGTAAGTTTGACAAAAATAAAACCTGCAGTTCACTTAATTGAGGAGAATATGGACTATTTTCTTTCTCTAGAGGAGCTAGGATGAGAGGAGGGGACAATGAACCAGCCGAAGCAGTCAGGAATGAAAATAGTACGAAAAAACATAGAACCTCAAACAGTGGAGGGTAAACATATTTTAGAAAATCTTAAATTATTCTTCACAGTAGATAACTTTATTAAAACATATTCTGCTTGAAACAAACCTTTTAACAATTGGCTATTCATGGAGCCTGAAAACTGCAGTAACAGCCTGCAGTGAAGGAACAGAGACTCCATTGATGGCCACATCAGCTGATAGTTTATTACAATTGGCTAAAAACAAGGACTCAAACCTTGCAATTCTGGTCTTTTATCTGAATCAATTCAAGAGCAAAGCATTAAACTTGTGAAGCTATTGAGCAGCAGTGTTAACTGAGCCCATCAAGGGTTGGTGTCTGCATCTAGGTCAACACTAGTGAACTTTGTCAGGCCCACACAGCTTGTGGTTTTGAGCTTACCAGCCTAGTGTGAGTGCTTGCTCCCCCCTCAGAAATCAGAGTTCACACTACCTAAAAATAAATGGAAATAATGCTTTGGAGGGTTTGATTAGAGAGTCCTGAAAAGCTAGTTGAAAGTAATCTGCCTCTTAGAGCTTGGGGGCTCTTAAATTCAGCATGTAACATGCTTCAGAGATCCAGAATTATGGCAGTGTCACCACACTGTAATCAAATAAGAATTTCTTAATTCTGAATGGGTATCTCTTGTCTGTGCATTTCATGTGCTAAAATAACTGTCTTCAAATTATCAGTCATGCTAGACTACATGCCACGGTTTTCGAATTCCAGTGCATGGATTTGTTTTCAATGACTTCAAGTGTGTTGTACTTAAATTCTGGATGGAGAAAGCACTTCAGGAGTGCTACTTATACAGCAATTTTGGAGTTTCAGAAAAATCTCTGGCATGTTGAAGTGATCTGATAGCAAGGTTGTGGAGTGTAAAGTATTGCAGTAGATGATGTGTTGTGAAGCTTTCCCTGTCACAGGATGTGGAGCTAACTCTGCAGATAGCGGCAATAGCAGGAGAGAGATATTTGATGGAGAAGCTAAGCCTTCCTCCCCGCCTGTGCCTCTCTTAAATGTATCCTTGTGTACATGCTGTAAAAGGAGACAGAGTTTGTTTTAGGTTCACATCCAAGGCATGTTGCATAACTGCACCTGAAATGTTTTGTGATCTAGAACTCTGAACCTGCTTTGGGCTAATAAAACCACAGGGGCAGTGGAGAATCCTGCTGGTTCCACAGCAGTATGTAACAGCGTCACACTTGGATATATTTTTTTTTTTCTTGTTATTTAGGCTCCTAAGTACTGTTTGACTTGTTATTAGAGTTGAAAGTAGGTGGCTTCTCTTGCATCCTGCTTCGTGTGTTGCTAAAGCTCTTGGGGCTCAGAAATTATGCTGAGTCTCACTGCCTGGGAGAGCAAGGAACGGAGGTCGGGAACTGCTCCCCAGCACCATTGTTTGATAAGGAGTGACAGGAAGAGCTCTTGTCTGCTGGCAGCCCAGAAGTATGTGAGCAATTGGCTTTGTTGGCATTTTAGAATATGTAAGGTGATGTTTCTCAAAAAACTTCACAGCATCCACCTCTGCCTTTAAAGGGGCTCAGACAATGCCACAGAAAGAGAACGTGCATTGCTAAGTCCCTGATAAGCTGTTTGATTTGCCTTTGATTAGGAAAAGATTGAAATGCAGCATTCAGAAGGATACAGGCAAATTTCTGCACTGGAAGATGACTTGGCACAGACAAAAGCTATTAAAGATCAACTTCAGAAATATATTCGAGAACTCGAGCAAGCAAATGATGACTTGGAAAGAGCAAAAAGGTGACCCACCTTTTGTGTTTTCTTTTTCCACTTTTGTTCTGTCTTGTGAGTGTGGTGTCACTAAGCTGCCATTCTGAACTAATCACTTAGGTGATGATTGTGGTGAAAAGGTTTGTGGCAGATGGGAAGTGTGATAATTTTTTCCCCCTTTCACTCCCCCCACTGCACTCTATCATATCTTACAAGCGAAAATAACAAAAAAAATAAAACAAAGCAAACCAAACAAAAATGCAACATTATCCCTTTTCTTGTGAGAGAGGGAGTTCCTCTATGTGCTTGAAGGATCTGGTAGTGATATCTTGTGCACTCTTTTCCAGAGCCACTATAATGTCTCTGGAGGATTTTGAACAGCGTTTAAACCAGGCTATTGAAAGAAATGCTTTTCTGGAGAGTGAGCTGGATGAGAAAGAAAACCTTCTGGAGTCCGTGCAGCGCCTGAAAGATGAAGCTAGAGGTTAGACAGAAATTACTTGTATCTTTCCCTTTCTCCCCTCCTGGCTTGTAGCTGTTTAGTCCTCTCCATATATCTTAGAGCTTGGCTTTTAAGTTTGCATCTTTTAAACCTGCTATCTGAAATGTAGAAGCAAATGAGGAAGCTTCAAGACTGTTACCCCCACTCCTTGAACTCCTGACCTTGTTCCAGAGCAGCTCTCAGAAGCAAAAGTCTGTTCCAGCCTTCTCCTAATCTGTGGTGATGCTTCAGGGCTTTAAGGGATTAAGAACAGCCAGTCCAGCTGGGGCATGTTCTGGTCTTGCTTCCTGTAACCCATGAAGGTCAGCTTTAATAAATATTAACCTCATTGTTTCCTGGCCTGTGAAAAGTGGAGTCAATGAAACACTAATGGGGCAGTAAAACAGGAGGGCTGTGACTAACTTCTAGTTACCTTTGAATAGCCTCATGTGCTAGCTGCTTGATATCTGTCAAGAAGGCTGGGTGAGAAGAGAGAGACCATGGAGCTGGAAAAACACCTTCTATTTTCAGCTCTGCTCAGATTCTGTGCCCTTAAGTGGTTTCCATAAGCTACAGCCAGGCTGTGGGACAGAAGTGCTCTGTCGCTTGGCTAGATAATGGTGTGGCTTCTACCTGGCCTCAGCTCAGGTTTCTTTCATATGGAAACCAGGGTAGAAGAGAAAAGGGTGCAATAGGTAGGATCTCAACCTGGCAGGGAGCTGGAATGTAGCCAAGGTGTGCCAAGTTGCCTAGCCTCAGTCTTGATGTGCCTCTGCTTACCAGCCTGTAACATCTGGAAAGGAGTTAATTCCCTGCCTCGAAGGGAGCCTTGTGAAAGGCTATGAAAATTAAAGCCAGATAACAGCAACTGAACTAATACTACAAAAACATCTTGAGCCACATTACTAGAAGAGCCTTTAGTGATCGTCCAGATTTTGAACATATGTCTGGAGTAATCCTTACAAGGATAAGTGACTTTGTTTCCCTTGTGGAGGTGAAGTAATCTTTTGAGCAAAACAAACTTTCTCACCTGTTTTTTATCTTGCTGGATACATACTCCAAAGGCTTGCTTTGTGTCGCTTCCTTCATAGATCTACGACAAGAGCTTGCAGTGCAGCAGAAACAGGAGAAACCCAAAACACCGATGCGAACTACCCTGGAAACAGAAAGAACAGACACTGCAGTTCAAGCATCCTTATCTGTGCCTTCAACTCCCTCGGTGCACCGGGCACCCAACATCAACATACCCACCCCTGCGACATTTAGGAGAGGTGACTGATAGGGAACCAGCACAGAAATACTATTTGATGCTCTTGTTTTTACTGTAGTTTCTGGCTAAAGGAAGAATGAGAAGAAGGGAGCAGAGTTGAGTGTTTCAGTTAAATACACCTAAATCCAGCATTCATAGACTGTGATTTTGGGGTTTATTCATAGGCTGTTCATTTCCATTTGACTTGAACTGTCCAGTAATAATAATTGTGAGGGACAAGATGGGCTGTTGGGACTTTACTATTAGTTCACAACTCTCCCAGAGATGTTGGGCTAACTTAGGGGAAGGATTTTAAAATCCTTTTAAAATCCAGTGTGATCTTTAATGTCACACTCGTGTAACTTGAATTGGCTTCTCTGTGAGAGTAGGTATTCTTTGAGAGAAGCTTTCTTTTTACTCTGGAACAACAGGACACTGACGAGTCATCCTAGCTCTCTGTACTAAATGACTATATCTCTGCTTTCATGTCAATAATATCAGTTACTTATTTTTTGTGAGCACTGATAAATTCAATATTTCAAGCCTCTAACACTAACTCTCCCATCTTCTTACATAAATTTCTGTTTTTTTAAGTAACTGTGTTCACGTGTAAATGCAGGGAGTTTTACTGTCACATTCTGATGATTTGATATTATAGCTCTGAGCACTAACAAAGTTTGATTGTGGGCTTCAGTATACTTAACCTAAAATTATGTGTTTTGTGTGGAGGAATTAATGCTTCTGTAAAAGTGAGAGGATTTGGAGATTTGTAGTAAAATGAGAGATGATGGTCCTCTCTGAGGCCACATCCCTCCGGTCCCACTGCAGCCACAGAGATGCAGAGTAGGCTGGTAGAAAGATCTCTAGAAACCCAAGCCACAGCATGTCTAGAGACTTTAGCTTAGGACAGTGTAACTTGGGCTGTCTCAGGGAGACAGTACTTCATATTCCTAATGGATATGAAAGATCTGGAGGTGAGATACAAAAAGGTGAAGATATTGGTGTTTCCTCTGCTCTGTATGTCAGGCTGTGTTCTGACTTCTAGTGTCAAAGCTTTTTTTTTTAATGAGTAACGTAGCCTTCTTTAACCTGCCCTGCAGGTCTTGAGGACAGTTACGGTGCAACCCCTCTCACACCCGCTGCAAGAATATCTGCACTTAACATCGTGGGAGACTTGCTGCGAAAAGTGGGGGTGAGTGATTACCTGCTAGCCAGTGCTTTTGGAAAGGTAGAGCTGTCTGAAACTGCAGCCAGCACTATTTGCACTGCTGCTCAGGGGAGACTGGAAAGAGTATCTTGTCCCCAGGTTTGCTAAGCGTGGCCTTGAAATTTGGTCTGGACTTTGTATGTTTCTGACCAACCCCCAAATAAAGACGGACTCTGCTCTGCTTTTCTAAGATCTTATCTGCATGGGGATAAGACCTTCCTCTACAAACTCCTGAAAGTGCATGTGCAGAAAGAATAAATTGGCATGAGTTAATTAAGAAGGGATCTGCTCCCATAAAAGGCAGAGAAGAAAGCAGGCTGGTGCCTGCTGTCCAGAGGGCTTCTGGTGATGTTTGCCTTAAGAGTCCAGCAGCCTTTTGAGCAAGGCCTAATGTCATGTTAAGCTGTAGTTTGACATTTAAGGTAGTGCTGATGCTGGAAAAGTTATCCCATGACCTCCTCCTGTTTTTTCCCTTATGCCCCAGTGCTGTGTTGGCACAAGCATTTGTATGGCTTTTTGATGGGCTGAGCTGCAGAACTGATACAGCTGAAGAGTAACCCAGCAGCAAAGGTGGGGTGATCTAGGATGGGAGCATGTGGTGGAGAATAGGGTATCTGTGGCTTAGTTCTCTCAGGTGTACCACCTAGTACATACAACCTAATATGTGTCTAGGGAAGCAGATAGCTCAAATGAACATTTAGTAATCTAAAAAGTGATGCCTGTAAGAAAGATGTCAAAATCTCCCTGAGGAAGCTGAAGATTTTGTGTTCCTGCTGGTGAACAGCATCAACTCCTTAACCTCCCCTACAGAAACAGAGATTCAGCTTTAGAAGGATGATTGGCTTTATCTCTTCAAAAATTCAGAACTCATATGGCACTGGGGTCTAGCAGGTTCCTCTACAAGACAACTCATTCTAAAAGAAACAAACAAAAAAACACACCCTCCCCAAACACTCTTAATGCCATTTCGGTGTGCCATCTTGTGAAAGAGAAGGGTGATATCTGACACTTGCCTCATCTGTGTTTCCATTAGGCTTTGGAGTCCAAACTTGCATCTTGCCGAAACTTTGTGTATGACCAGTCTCCAAACAGAACCACAGTGTCCATGTACATGAACAGAGATGTTCTTGAAACACGCCTGAGTCCTCATCAGCCGCTGTCTGATACAGGGTGAGTGCTGTTCTCTGCTGTTGTCTTAGTGAGAACTGTTGGTGTTAGAACTTAGTGACTGGTACTGTTCTATTTAGTATTAAATCTTTGTTTTGGTAGAGACAGATTTGTTTTCAAAAGATATGAAATTTAGTTATTCAGGATTATGATTTGAATGTTTCAGATCAGTTTAAAATTTGGAATCACTAGCTGCTGAAATTTGAAGACTAGCTGGAATCAAGTTTTGAAAACCACAAATGCAAAGCAAATGTAATACGCGTATTTTATTATAAATGCAGTGTTTAAATGGGACGAAGTACAACAGAGGAGCTCTTGCTTATTGGCTCAATTTTGTTTTATGCTTTATGTTCTTGTGCAAGTGATGTCTCGGGAACATTAGGGCATGTAGGGACTTCCCTTATCACAGTTAAGATTCTCATTTATGGGAGAACTGGAAAAAAGGGAAGTAATGGGTTCACTCAATTAGAATGCTTTACGGTTGCTAAGATAGGTTTCCAAGGAGCAGCTGACAGGAGGTTACCTGACTCAAATTATAAATTTGTCTGAACACTTGAACTGGTTGTCTTTTTTTAAACAAAAGAAGAAAAATCAGCAAGGTTATGGCATATTGCAGTTCAGTGTCTGCTTAAACCCTGCCAACCCCGTACTGCATGCTATTTAGATTCTCTGTAAATTAAGCGCTTAGAGTACAGTTTGTTCCAGTCTTAATTATTCAGCTAGACCCTTGCACTGGGAGTACTGGTTTGTCCTGTTACTCAGTGCCCAAAATTGTGTGGAAGGAGTCCTCCACATTGTACTTGCTATCCCAGCCTGGGGAGAAACCTCATGAAAGCTCCTACAAGAAAGCCTCGAGGGCCATACATTTACATATTTGTGCAGCTGATTATACATCTACTGCTGTCATGCTAGAACTGAAATTCCAACACCTGTAAAAGATAGCTTCTCACTACTCAGAGGAAAATGGAGCCCTTTGTTACAGTGGAAACTCAGCCCAGTTAAGTAACGGGCTCACTTAGTGCTCAGTGATATTCTTTTATCTGTTGATTTCTCAAGCTGAGTGGTGTACTCTGGAAGTGACCACTTACTCTGAAGAAAGTAAAACTGAGCAAGAAATGCACTAACTTCTATTTTGTATTTGCAGGTTAGTGAAACGCCTGGAGTTTGGAACACGGCCTTCAAATATTCCGGGACCAATGAGCCATCCCTCACAAAGTGTTGTCAAGATGCTGCTATGAAAAGCCTGGCTGGCTTTGGAAAAGGAAAAGAAAAAAAAAATATATTTTAAACTTTAGTTTTAAAGAGAATATCAATGAGCAATCAGACAGCAGTCTCGGGGTAGGTGAGAACTAAACAAGAAGCTGCAATTGGCAATGGCCTTCTGTGGCCTTGCCCAGTCTGGCCTCTCAGCCGAGTTCTGTGGGTAGTGTGATAAAGCAATGCTGCCTAGCAGTGCAGGACTTCGAATTGCTTCCTACATCAGTTGCTGTAAATAGCTCCTTGAAAGTTGCATCTTTTGATGCTGCCAGTCAAAACCATTGTCCTTCTACCTACAACAGAGACAGTATTCCCTATGCAGCTCCTCGGGCTTTGGCTTTTGGTGTTAAGCCAGCACCATGGTGTTCTGGCTTAAGTTCTGGTTGTGCTGGCTTTCTATCATGGGTGTTGTGTGCTGCAGTTACCTGAATTAGAGGAGTGGTTTTATGTGGAGAAAGGTGTGTTTCTGCAGGGAAGCTGTTCAGCTTTTTGTGGGATGTTTGCTGGTCGGAATCTTGCTACACAAAAACTTGCCTCTATAGTGGTAAGATGGTTTTGTAAGCAATGATTTGCCATTAAGAACAGGTCATGGTTACAGGTGAGGAATGCCTAGTGCTTAGGGTACTCAGGAGATCCCAGAGCTGACAGCAAGGTAGGAGTCTTTGGACTGGCTTAGCATATAGACATCTCTTTTTGCCATGTTGTGGCCCATAAAGCCTGGCTGTTGTAGGAAGCAAGAGACCTGATTAAGTTCCCAGTTCTAACATCTTAATAGGTGGGGTTTACTGCTTTCCAAACCTCCCTTATTAATGTGCCTTAGGTATTAGTGTTTTTTTCTTGTTTTATTTTTTCTGTGAGAATATATGCTTTCAGCTGTTACTAATTTAGAAGTGGTTTTTTAACCTGAGAAGTCCTTTATGCTAGACAAGTGTATATGAGTAGACAATTATTTTTAAATCAGTTTTTTTCCCCTGTAGAATATTACTGTATTTTGGTTTGTTTTTTAGATGGAGTAGGCTCACTCAGTATCAATGTACCTTATGGAAGCCTGTACTTGCAAAAATAATCATGACTAAACAATTTTTATGTTTTTTGCTGGCGGGGGGGGTAGGTTGGGTGGGGGTGCGGAGAGCTTACTTCACAAAAGAATGTGTAAAAGGGTTTGGGTTTTTTTGTTTTTTAAGAAAATGCTGTGAAAACAGCCACTGATGCATCTATTTCTCTGGAACAGGAAATAACCACAGGTCATTCCCATTATTCAGGCCATCTACAAAGCTGGCTTAACTGGGGAGCAGAATAAAGCTTATTTTGAATTCTAGTTGTTGATTCATTTTGAGTTTTTTTGGTAAGTTGTCACTGTGGTTTATGCACAGATGTTTACTACCAGTTTCTCATCTGTTTCTGATCAATGAAGCTGAAAGACACATTGTTTTGCTGAATCACATGCAAAGATTTTCCTACACTTCTTTCTTCTAGTTGTTTCCTACCCTAAGGAATGTAAATATCGCCATAGCTAAACATGCCTCTGGGATTTACAGTGCTTAGTATTGGCATTGCTCTCTCTTAAAATCTTGAACTCTGGGTGTTTTAATGTGATTTTTGTCCTCTTCTCTCACACAGGGAGCTGACACTCTTCTTACCCATGAGGAGGAGCAGAAGCACTTGGGCTACTTTGTTAGTTGTGCTGACACATGGACTATGGTTCAGTAGACTGTGTAGCCTAGAGGGATCAGTCAAGACAAGTTGCATTTTCCTTACCTTGCCAGAATTTGCCTGCTTGGTGAGCAAGTTGGCTTGCCATCAGATTGAGACATGGCATTGAGACAAGGTAGAAAGTTGGAAAATCGTGCCTGTGCTAGTATTATGTATTTTACAGATATATTGTTAACGTGACTACAGATATAATCAGATAGTCTATGGGTGGATATGCTATTAAGAATTGTCAAAATAATTTAGTCCAGAACAGTCACCTCTAATGGTACAGAGAGGAACTTTTTTTTGGGAGAGGAACTTCAGTTTAGCCACTGTTGCAGAAGGATGCTTTCTGTGGTGTTACTAAAGAAACTCTGACTCCCTATTTTGTCAGAAGCTTTGCAGAACGGGGACTGAAACCTGAGTTTCTCAAGTGTGATAGGGCAGTGCTCTAACCATCGGACCAACCTGTACCATTATGCATGTGAATTTTCTAGATTAATTCCTTTTAGAAGGGCTCCATGTTCAGTTTGCTGGTTCTGCTCTAAGCATTGGTGCTTAAGACCATTCTATATGAAATCTGACTTCCTTGGTCTCCTTGTTCCCACACATGCAGGCTCACAAGCTGCGTGCTTAACAGCCAGCTCCTGAGTATGTTTACAGAGCTGGGCTGCATGGCTGATCGAGCAATGAAAAGGTCGTATCTGATAGCTCCTAACCCCCCTCCTCTGCAGCTTGGCACCTTAATCGCTCTAAATGGATCCTTATTTAAATTCTTCCTTTACTCTTTCATGAGCAGAGAGAATTCTTTGGGCTCTGATTCTGCTGACTAAATGGTGCCTAGTCTGAATGCCCAGTTTATGATTTCTGTGCCTTCTGGAACAACGCTTAGGTTTAGAAGATGATTGCATTAACTGTCAAGGTGGATGTTTTTGCATGACTTGCTTTCCCTGCAGTCACACTGCTTAAGATTCACTTGCTGTACAACCTAAGACATCGAGTAAACTCCCTGTACTCGAGTCAGAGTAATTCTACACGTGGCTTTGCTGTGCATGGCACTCTACTGCCCCAGTGTGACCACAAAGCTAGCTGCTATCTGGAAGTACTAGAGCTGCATGGATTTGTGGTAGGTCCTGGTGGTTCCCAGGAGTGGGCTGCGGTCCTGTAGGAGTGCTCCAAAAATAAGGAGTAACTGCATGCTGATCCCTTAATGCAGAATAGCTTGGCTTGGATCACTGCATTCAGTGTGGGCTGCTTGTTTCTAATTGTTTTCAGCCTGCTTTAGAGGCTTTGGTTGGAAATATCCCTATGCATACATACTTCAAGGGTGGGTTCAGTTACCTAAAGACAGACACTAGGGCCCTGCCTGCTTTCCAGCTGCTGCACCAGAAAGCTGCAAGTCTCCTACACGTCCTGTGTCATGTCTGTCAGCCCTTGCATACATCCTAGGGCACCTCAGTTAGCACCGTGTGTCTGTGAGGTAACCAAACCCGTCCCAAGTACTTCATGTCATTTTACATTCAGCTCAGTGTACATACTTTTTTTTATTCCTTCAAAAGCAATTGCTTAGGAGAAAATAAGCTGTTTTTGTTCTAATGATTACAGATAAACTTTTCTAAAAAGTATTTGTCGAAAGAAGCTCTACTGCATGCCCCATTCCCTTTGAGCATGCTGTGTTGCACCCAAGTGACCTCTGTACACAATAATACTGGAGTAGTTTTTAGAGCCTTTTATTAGTGTGTAAGCACATCCTTGGTGCATATAAAACTGTAACAGTTGACTTAATTGGAACAAATGATATTTTATTTTTCAGTAAGTGATTAAAAAGGCACTTCCACCTTGTGAATGGTGCATCAGGGGTGTAGTAACCAGGAAAAAACCCTATATTAATCGAATACTCAAGACAAAATGAAAGTTTAAGAAAAGATTAACTGACCAATGCCTTTTTTTTTTCCCCTGCAACAGTCTCGCAAATCCTGTGTAAACTGTAGTTCACTGGGATTTAAATCATCTGAGCTACTAGAACTTACTTTCTGGAAGATTCTCAAAGTGAATTACTCTGAGTGTTAAAAAAAAAAAACCACCTTTTCAAATACACTTCATGGTAAAATAAGTTTTGGAGTACTTTTAACGTTAACCTACACATTGGAGACAAGGCAGTTGTGCTTTTATCATTGTCAGAGGAGTGGGTGTATGTGACCTTGACACTAAGAGTAGACTTATACAGTGCTAAATATCGTCCTCCCTCCCCTTGCTGCAGTGCAATTTTTTAAGCGTGTTTATTCACTGGCTTTTGTTCCATTGAAATCTCCATCTCTTGCATCCATTTCTTCATCACCTCCTTCTGTTGCATTCTCAATTATTCTTCTGCCTCCAGATCTACGGGGTGGGGCAAAAGATGCTGGCTCATTTCCCCTCCTGCAGTAAGAGGGGGGGAAAAAAAAAAAATCAGGTGTTAGGTCATTTGGAGTCCTCACAAATAAGCATAGAGTTTTGTAACAGTACCTGTGAGGCTGATATTTTTAAATGCAGAACAGCCAAGAGCTGTGGGTCTCTAATACAACTTTCTGTTCTGTAGCATATAAGACTAATTTGTGGACAGGTTGAGACTCCCAGTTGCTTGGAACTGTGATGGGATTCCTGTTCTTGTGCTTAATAGTTCTCATCTGCCCCACCCCCCCCCTACTCTTCCTTTCATTTCACTGTTTTTCCCTATGGGGACTGCAACTGGTTGTGCTGGGAAGGAAAGCTGCTTGTACTCACAACAGCAGGGGAGTGTCCTTCCTGTCCCTGTGGAACAGCAAGGAGAGAGCGAGCGAGCTTGTACTGAATTTCTGACCTGCAGTCTGAATAAGCCCACCACTTACTAAAGGCCCATAAGACGGGACTGGTAGCAGTGCTGTGAATGTCAGCAGGCATTTTTGAGCCCACAGTCCCTCTCTGCAAAGGCTGTGTTGGTCAGAGCACCACAGGTGCTTTGATGTGTATGGCATCCTAGGTTGTGAGTAGCTCCAATCTCTTTCCCAATGAAGAGAGGAAACCATTGCTGCTTTGGAACTGTGTTGTACCTCAGGTGCTGACACTTAACAGTGCAAATGTCTTGCAGAAGAGCTTACAGAAAATGCTTTTTCCCATCTTACCCCCTTTTCCTCTCCCATCTCCCTCCCATCCCCATATATTTCATAGCCACAGCCCAAGGCAGGGACACTTCGGTCCTCAAGGTTAATTTTTTGGGGGGAGGTGTGAGCAAGTGAGACAGAAGATGGGTTTGTCTCTTCTTGGCCTCCGTTGCTACTGTGCTACAAAACGCTTAAGTTTTGTAACATGGCCTCTCACTTGCCCCTCATTAAGCAAACCTTTGTAAAGGCTTGAGACCACAGACATAAGCAATAAAATAAATTGATAACTGAATGTTGTGCCAAAATTACTAATTTGGTGTTAAATACATCTGAATCTGCACTTTTGGGTACAGCAATCATGCATAAATATTTAAAGGCTTGTCTTGTCCTTGCAAAAGACTAAGCCAGTGTTGTCCTTTCTGAAGCAGCTATTTAAGTCCAAAGTTCAATCTTCTGTACAAGGGAAGTGGGTAGGAACATTGGCTGGACTAACTTATTTCAGAGGCACAAATCTGTGTTTCCAAGGTGGAAATGTGACATGTAGTATGTTTTCCACAGTTCTGCCCTTAAACTCCATTGTGAACAAACAATTAGCTGGATAATAAAGCTTCATTTAAGATCTGCCGTTAGTTAACCTTAGCTGTTGTGCCGATGGCATGTATTGAACACAAGGGAATGTCATTTCTATGCTGGCACGTGCTTGACAGAGTCTAACAGCAGTGTCTACTATTTTATGATAGCAGATATTTGTTATTACTGTTTAACCAGAAAGTTCTAGTTAGGTCAGTAAATTCATTAATTCTTGTCAATAAAGATCTAATTCTTTACCAGGAAGAACTCTTTACCCCCTTGGACGCCTGCGATCTGGACTGTTACTCACAAGTCATTTGTAAGATAACTCTTTATATGCTGCAGTAATTCACTGAAGTGCTACAAGAGAACATGGGACTGGTGGGGAGTAACAGCAAGAGTCTAACCAAATTGTGCAGGACAGTTTTGGCTACAAAGAAGTGAACTCCCTATCACACACTAACCACTTATTAACATAAATTTGCAATATGCATAAACTTAATTCTTCTTTAAACTGGTATTGGCCTGTGGATAAGTGCTCTTTGTTTATATCTGTTCCTCTTAAGCAGGTTTATGGATTTGATAATATTCATGTGGTCATTCTCATTAGTACCTTTAGAATAATGCATATAACTGAGACAAGCCTTAAGCATTAGTGTTTGCTTAGCATCTCTGTATTTAATCTACCTTTGAAAGAGTGCTACTGGAGTAGCGCTTGAATAACAGTCTGACTGGAAATATTAGGCTGACTAAAAGGCACATGCAAGGACAAGACATCATCTT